ATCTTTAACACGCATCACCAATTGGTTGGATTTTGAGGCGTTATCACCGCAACCGTTGTTGATAACCATTAACCAATATGATATTTCAAAGGGTGCTCCTATTAACACGAATAAATTCGTGTATAAGCAATCATTAGACAATCAATCCCATCATCATATCATCATATATGTTTGATTCGGTATTTTCAATTGTTTTTATATTTTTCATTTTCTTCCCTTTCAATTAGATGTAAGTTACAAAACAAACCTCTTTACTTTTTATTCTTTTTAATTTCAACAACTTTATATGAAATACGTATATAAAAATAAATACTAAAAATCTTAAAAATATATATTCAAAATAATATCAATTAAAATGTTAAGATATGTATTCTAACCATTTTCAATAAATTTATTTTTCATCAAAATGTTAATAATATATTTTATTATTTTTAAAATTCATATTATTAACGATCAACCAATTTATAACTTTTCTAACCCATTGCTAAAAACATTATTTAAGAAAAATTAAGTAAATTAATCATCTATTCAATTTAATATATTAAAATGATAACTCACATATATCATTTCAATTATGGTTTTAAAATGCGTGCCAATCAGTGCCAATCAATTCTATCGATAAGTAATATTACAATTTTATACCTTCAGTTTACGTTGTAGTTTTAGAAAAGACCATAGATTTTTTTTAATTTATATCTTAAACCCTTGAAACTTTATTAATTTTGAAAACTAACAAATAGAAACATATTATTTAATCATAAAAGTTGTATAATAAAATGATCTCACGAATACATTTACAAGAGGAGTAATAATGAATATTATTAAATATTTTTAAATATTAATAAAAAAAAAGTTAATCTGTTAAATAAGAAATATAAACTATGGAACATTAACAAAAATAGAAGAGATAAAAATGAAAATTTGGTTTCAAATTCTTACTATATACGATTGATATTTCTTATTTGTTAAAATGAAAACGACTTGCAATGTCAAGTAACTTTCGTTAAAAGCAAACATATGATATTTGTTATAAATATAGATTTTATTAAATGACAAGTTGGGAAAAATGGATGGGTGACACATATTATGAGGTATTTGTACTTAACATTTCTTATTTTTTATTGTTTTTTTTTGTTAAATGTATGTTTTTCGTTGTGTTATGTTTGTGTTTTGTTTTATGTTTAGAGAGATGATATTCATCCAATGGAGACAAATGAAGTAGATGAAAATAATAGCTTGAATGAAAGTAACTATTTTTTCGACGACACATCGCCATTCGAAACGGATATCCATCCAATGGACACAAATAAAGCAGATGAAAATAATAGCTTGAATGAAAGTAATTATTTCTTCGATGACACATCACCATTCAAAACGGATAAGGTATAAATTCATTAGTATATTGTTACAGTAATGTTAGCATCGAGTGGATCTGTTAGCTACTGATAATAATATAATCGTCAGGTGTTCAATTCTCGTTAAAAATTGATGGATTTGGTGCAAAATGTAGCAAATACTTTAGGTTATGTCATCGTCATAAAAAATTCTAAACATAACTTTAATGTTGTATTTCAATGTGACCGTCGAGGTACATACAAAAGTACACAAATCTCCAAAAAAAAAAAACACGGACAAAAAAAAATTAATTGTCCATTTAGCCTACAGGGTAAATATTCGTCAGTAGATAATTCTTGAAAGATAAAATGATATGTGAATTTCATAACCATGAGCCGTCATTATGTTTGGAAGGTTATCCTTATCCACGACGGCTAACTGAAAATGAATGTCGAATAGTGGAAGATTTGTTGAAGAAAAATGTCAAACAAAAGATATATTATCTGCACTAAAAAACCTAAATCCGAAAAATGTATCTACTCTCAAAACTATCTACAATGCAGACGAAAAACTTCGACGTAGGGAGAGAGAAGGTAAAACTCAAATGCAAGGTGTTATGGAAATTCTAGATCAAAATGGATATGTTTATTATAGTCGTGCAACTGTTTTGAAAAATAAGTTAGAAGATTTATTCTTTGCTCATCCAAGATCATTAGAAATATGGCGTGCATTCCCACATGTCTTGTTAATGGATGCAACATTTAAGACAAACAAGTACGAGATGCCTCTATTGGAGATTGTTGGTGTAACTCCAACAAAAAATATGACATTTTCCATTGCATTGTGTACATGCATGAAGAAAAACAGTCCAACTATGTTTGGGCTTTAGACTGTCTAAAATCGGTAATGGAAGGATGTATGTTGCCGCGTGTTATTGTGACTGATAGAGAAATGGCTCTCATGAACGCATACACTATTATATTTCCAGATGCTAAAGGATTACTTTGCAGATGGCATATAAATAATAATATCATGAAGAAATGCAAATCATGTTTGGATGTTCTTTATACGTCATGGACGAGGTTGTTTAACTCTGAAACAAAGGAAGCATACAACAAGAATTTGGCACAAGTTGAAAAAAGTACGAACACGTATCCAAGTATTTTTAAATATGCATTATAATATGTTATAATTCATTACATCAACTGAAATTTGTTTATGTATTTCAGATGCATTTGTTTATCTAAACAAAACATGGTTGACACCACACAAAGAAAAATTCGTGTCTGCATGGACCGATAAGTTTCTTAACTTTGGCAACCACACAACTAATAGACCTGAAAGTCAACATGCCAAATTAAAAAGATATGTCAAAACATCGCGATCAGATATTGCCAAATCATTGAAGCATATTGATGATGTTGTTAAGTCACAATACACAGGTATAAAAGCGAGTCTTGCGCATAACAAAATTTTGATTGTACATCGATACTATGAAATACCACATCTAAAACCATTGTGTCGTTTCGTTTCAATTTATGCACTTGATATCATTTTTCACAGTCTGCTGGATGAGAAACTTTTTATGCTGCTCGCCTGAATTCCTACATTTTTTCATTTGCAACACACAGTAATTGTAACAATTCTACGGTTATAATATCTGATAATTAATAAAATCAAGTTTATGTTTTGTTATTTATAATTATTAAGATCTCTATAAATAAAAAAATTGTTTTTTTTTAAATTTAGTAAAATAGTTTATATATATAAATGATTTTGACGAGGTAAAATTAATTTAATATATTAAAAGTGGTTAAAGTGCTAACTGTAATATATATCAAGTCAATCAACTCGTCGTGTAAATGGAACTAGATTCGTGTATTTAGAATAACCCTTAATTTTTCTATCGCATAAAGTTCAACAACGACAATTTTCCGTTCAATCTATCTTAATTTGTCAATTAATTTATTTACAACATTATTTTTTTTAAAATTCAACAGCGACAATTTTATGTTCAATCTATCTTAATTTGTCAATTAATTTATTTACAACATGATTTTTTTCCCAATAATAATGCTATCAATATGTTAAAGATAGAATATATATTAATTATTAAAAGCTATAAGTTAAATTAAATTAAGATGTCAAAATCAATAAATAAATTAAATAAATGATGTATAACTTGCATACATATTTAAAAGGGGTATATATCGAAATATATATATATCTTGAAATAAAATGTTTACACTCAATCTTATTTAAGTAATAAAAAGTAATGATTATGAGAAACAGTAAAATGTCAAAACATCAATTCATTCGTGCACTTAGAATCACCCTATTTCAAATATATTATTATGGTTAGAATAATTTATCATATACATACAACTTAAAAGATCATATAGTGTTAGTAGTATATCGTTCTAAATTCTTCGGGTTAATACTTAATACACTCCCAAATGGTTAGATAAATATTTTCCCCGACTTTTTCTTTGGATCAATATACTTCTTAATACCCCTCAAATTCTAAATTAGTAAAATAATTATATCATGTTTCTTCATAAGATGGTTTTCACGGATAACCTTCTTAACCATAAGGTCCATAACAATATATGATCTTTTTGTATTTTAAATTATGTATTTTTCTAACCATAACAAAATATTTAATTATTTATTTCATTTTAAGGTAGAGTAAACGAAACAAAATGACCTAAAATAAACACATACATAATATCGCCATGATTTTAAACATTTTAAATAGTTCCTTATTCAAATACGACAAAGAAGGACATTTTAAACTTGTTATAAAAGATATATTGTTTAAACACTAATAATTAGTTACATTTTAATAATAAGTTTTAAATTTATAGATATTTTTTAATCGGTTTAAATAATAGTATATCATTATATTAATTTAATAGCTACAAATCATTAAAAAAAAGAAAATTACAAAAATAGTCAATTTTCTTAATTACTTTGTAGAAAATAGCCAATAAAACTTAACATTACAAAAATAATCATCAAAATCGCAGATGGATTAAGCCCATATGCGATTTCCCCATTTGATCTGCGAATGTAGAAGTCGGTAAAGCACGGACGCACATTATGAATTGTACGTTTGCATATGTTTTTTTTTATTTGATTTTTTCCGGTATAAATCCCCTCACACCTGACTAAAATCGCAGATGAACTTAGTTCATCTGCGATTTCCTCTGAAGTTCATCTACGATTTTGGGGTTTTTCGTTTAATTTTTTTTAACGAAAGTACAAGTGTTTAAAGCACGGATAAAGAGATAAAAAGAAAATTACCCCATGTGAACTACTGCGTATCCATGCTTTAAACACTTATATTTTCATTAAAAAAACGAAAACCCCAAAATCGCAAATGAACTTAAGAAGAAATCATAGATGGACTAAGTTCATCTGCGATTTTAGTCAGGTGTGAGAGTATTTATATCGGAAAAAAAAAACTAAAAATAAAACCATATGTGAACATACAACTCATAATACGTGTTTGTGCTTTACCGACTTGTACATCCACAGATCAAATGAGAAATCGCAGATGGACTTATATTTTTTATTTATTATTTTTATTTATTATTTTCTATAAAGTATTTAAGGAAATTTGTTATTTTGTAATTTTCTTTTTTAAAAAAAATAAAATACATGTTAGGGTTTTGATCACCCTTTCTTCCAATTCCACACACCAACTAAAATAACTAAAACAATGGTTGTCGAAGTATGTTCTTCATCATTGTTGACACACTCGCAGTGGTACGGTTCCCATAGAGAGTCCTCGGAGGTTAACGATGGCCACCAAGGGAGGCGGCAGCGGCGGAGGGGAAGGAGGAGCCAAAGAGCTAGCAGCTCAGATTAGCAAAACCCTAAAAGAAGGTGAAAAACTCCTCGCTCCAACCCGACGACCCGACGGCACTCTACGCAAGCCCATTCGAATTAGGGCTGGTTTCGTCCCTCAAGATGAAGTCGCTGTTTACAAATCCAAAGGCTCTAAGGTACATTTGTTCTACCAACATAACTTCATACTTGCATTATTCCAACTGATTTTGATGCTTGAACTACTTGCATTTACGATAATGATTCGAAGTTGAAGGAGGAAACTCTGCCTCCTGGTTATGATCCTGAACAAGATGTCGTCAACAAACCTAAATCCAAATCAGCTAAGAGAAATGAACGAAAGAAGGAGAAGCGCTTGCAGGTATCGTAATCAGATCCCCCATTTCACATGTTCTTTTGTTTGCGTTTCCGGCCGGATTTTCATATATGTTTATTTGATTCCGATCAGGGTAAAAATGAAGCTTCATCTACTGGAGACGAAGAACAAGCATTGGAATCCGTTGAGTCGATTGCGTCCCACATAAACGAGATCACGATTTCTGGAAATCAATGTGTTGCTACTACTCCTCCCTCAAATTCAATGGAATCTTCAGCTACAACGGAGCATGTTCCTGATATTGATAAACGAATTCGTGCACTGAAAAAGAAGGTAGAGCTCCTTATAAATTGTCTGTTTAAACAGTGTGATTGAACCTCAAAATTGTTGTTTTGGTGATGATTGTTTGTTTATAATGTTGGGTTGCAGATCCGATTGATGGAGGCTCAACAACAGAAAGCAGGGCATGATAATGATCTGAAACAAGAACAAGCGGAGAAGGTTGCTAAATTGGAAGATTGGAGGAGAGAATTGAAACTTTTGCAGGAAACTTCTCAGGGATCTTCATAAAGGCATTTTTGTTGGGATCATAAAGGTTAGATGTTGAAATACACAGAATTTTACAGCTCTTCATTGTTGTGTTTTGTATGCAAAAATCGAAAACCATGTTTGTTAAGACATATAGGAGTAAACTGAGCATATGACAAATTGTGATTTCTTCACCCTTGGTGATTTCCATTTCATGCAAATGGGTGCTTTCTCATCTATTTCTTGATAATGGAGTGATATATTGTAACTTTACATTATTTTTTTTTTATGAATATAATTTTCAACAACACAAATGCTTTTAAAAAATAAAATAAACAAGTTTAATTAATGTATTTTTGTTATATATCTATTGAGATTTACCGGTGTGTAGCAATAATAGCATGGTTGTAAGATCCCTATTTTGATCTTAAGATTTTCCGATCTTAAAATCCCACAAGCAAAAAACGATCATGACCTCACCAAGATTGATATTTGTATTGGGGTCTTGGGATTCCAACTAGGGGCAAGTCTGGTATATAGTTTTTGAGAGATTTTAACTTTTAAGAAAAAAACTTGAAAAAAAAAAGTTTGTTTTAATCCAAAAGCTTAGCTTTTAGGAACTTTTAGTTTTTGGTTTTTATTTGATTTTACAATTTTAAAAGCTAACAATTATTCTTGTTGAATACTTCTACACAAATTAAAGTTTTGGTTTCCATCTACACATCATAAATCTTAAGATCTTATTTTGATCCTATCCCACCTTTTTAGTTTTTATTCTATAGTTAAGTGTTTAGTCTTCTAAAAGTTCAAAAAAAAATAAAAAATAATATAATGCTTAAATTAAATACAATTTTGCTTATAATTGAGCCTCAAAGTCCTTTAATTCAACGTAAAATTGAGCATTGCAGATCGAAGGAAGCCTCATGGAACATACAACAGGATCCATTCATCTCAAATTAATTAGGTAGAGAATCATGACACACAAGCTAGTCCTCTATGATTTTGTGTCTTTAGTTTTACATGATCATGTTGATCTTGTTTATTTTTCTGTTTAAGATGTTTTCTTCCTAGTTTTTTTTTTTTTTTTTTTTTTTTACTTTTAGAAAAATATGGTCACTGTTTAAGAAGTTAAAGATTATTCAATCATTGATGTATTTATCAAAATCAAGTTATAATGGGTACCGGAATAACAAGAACTTACGAACAAAAAAATAAAAATAAATAAAGAAATAAAGACTAGTTTATTTTGGTAGGATCTTTTGAACTCAATCTTGCAAACCTAAATGATCATATGTAAGATCCTATATTAAGATTCTGATTTTGATAACCTTGGTATAGTCTTGGTATATAGTATGGATTGTGACCTATTGAATTGTATACAATAATTACAATGTACATGAAATATATTTATATGTAACTTATTTAACATACATTTTCATTTGATCAAAAATTATTTTTATTAAATAATGTAATCTTTGTTGATCAATTTTATGTGATAAAGTTTAATCTTTCATAAAAGATAACAAATATATCTAAATGATTCGTTATATTCTTCTAAGCCAACCAAATTATGATCATTTTACTAGTTCAAATTACCTTGTTTGTTCCTTTGCTTTATTCATGTTGTTCGATTTCGTCATATCAAACAAGCCGTTAGGTCGTGTTTGGTTCATAAATTTTAAAGTAGTCGGAATAGAAGATTATTAATGAATGTGTTCGGTTGTCACTAATGAATTGGATTATGTGAAGATCTATATTTAGAGATTTTATCATTTCTTAGACCATCCCCAATACAAATATTATATTTTACACTTAAATGATAGAAATAATGTTAAAGATAATGTCAAAACTAAATTATTTCCAACCTATTATAATATATTCAACATTAAAAAGAAAATTCTAGGTATATTATTTTTTTTTATCAACTTTTATAATTTTTACAAAACAACCTTTATAAATATTAGGTTTTCACAAACTTGATATGTTGATTTTATTACAAAGATATATTTAAAGAAAATACTACACATTTAAACATTGAAATGGGTTTCCTATCATTCCGTAGATCAAAATGAGTTTCTTAATCTTTGAGATGTGTATACAGAACAAAAAATTGTTGGAGTTGGTTTATAATCAACTGTTGTCGTTCCTATGTCTATTGGGGGCGGATCTACAATGAGGACAGTATAGCCAACTGTTATAAGCATAAATTGAGAAATGTAATTTTTTTTTTTCTAATTTAGTTTGAAAGCATGATTTTGAACCCACAAATTTTTTGAATAGGAAAGAAAAAGACTGAAATATTTTAGAAGAAAAAAGAAAGAACAAATTGGTTAGAAGTGTGGGAGTGATGTTGTCCTTCTGATGGAGTCATGGAGAATTTGGGGATTGTAAATGAGGTTGAGAGGGTTAGACGCCATCTATATGGGATACGATGTTTCATGCATCCATCGACGACACTTCTCTCGCAACCTCAGTTAGTGCATTAAGATCACATTCACCATTGATTATCATATTATGTAAAATAACACATACTAATCATTATGTAATGTAGTTCTTTTTATTCCAAAAACAATATGGCCCCTTAACAATTACAAAATGTGATTGGATAACTCCGAAAGCACGCTCTACATCCTTTCAACCTGCTTGTTGCATAGATAAATACATTTTTTTTTCGTCTTCTTCATTCATGAACGGGTTGTACTCGAAGGATCTTAAAAACGGAACAAACATGGATCTTACCAGATTATTAAATTACTAATATTATAATATTATCAATGTCACTTGTATGGTTTTTAAATTACTAAAATTATGTCACTTGTGTTATTATTATAGTATTGAAATATATCAATTATGTGTTTTATTTAAATATGGATTGCAATTAAATTCTTAAATATAATAACACAAGTAACAATATTAAATACATACCATAATTATATAAACAATATACTAAAAATGAATAACTTTAAAGTTTGAAAGAAAATTTTATATTAAACTTTAACCCCATGTTAATGAATAATATAACAATATATTTGGTGTTATTTCACCGATATCAAATTTGGTACAAATATAATACAAAGTTAGAGCAACATAACACCAAATTCGGTATAAACTTTGAGTTTTTGTGCTAGTTGTAGATGCTTAGGGCATCTTTAACCAACATCAAATTTAGTGTTACAATTATTTTTAGTGTAAATTCACCTTACCAAAATCACATTTCTTACATCAAATATCGATGTCGATGTTTTAAATAAAATAACATCAAATATGATGTACTATTCATTATACCAAATTTGATGTTAAAGTTTCATGCCTACAATTTTGATTTTATAAGTTTGAGTTTACATATGTTTTGGGTATTTTAATTGTTCCAAGTTCATGTTTTATATATTTTTAGTTAATTTATTGTATAACTACATTTTAAATGTTTCAAATCTATTTACTCCAATCTACTCGAATCCCCTCCCAAATAACAAGCACAACCATATGTAAAATCTCATTATACTTTCCGTTCGATCTTTACATAAATTCTTCATCACTTTCAAAAAAACAAACTAAGAATCCAATGCAACAAATAAAGTACACTTACCATGTTAAGATCTTACAAAACTGTGTGCTAATTAAAGCAAGATTACACATCAATCACAAATACCAATTAATTTAAGTGGATTCAATATCCGAACCTTCCAAACCTTCTTCATACACTTCAAAATCTTCAGGACTCCATCTACATATTAACTTTAGCTTAAAAGTAGCCATCTTCACACCCATTAACCTCTGCCAAAGTCAAAGTCAAAGTCAATGTCAAAGTCAAAGTCAAAGTCAAACCCCTACTTTATAAAGAAAGGGTGAGAACAAACCAGTATACGAGAAGATTCAGGTGATATGGGTTTCCCCTCTTCACATACAGCGAAATCTCCAACAAGTTCCACAATTCCTGTCAATATTTCAAAAAAGAAAATAAAAAAGGTGAAGAATTTGAATGCGTTCATAAGAGAAGCCCTAATTTTATTGTGTGTGTGTGTGTTTTGTAAGAGTGAATGGAATTGGACAAACCTTTGTTTAATCGAACAGGCATTCCTTGCTTTCTTAAGAAGGGCTCCATCTCGTGTGTGAATTGGTCTAGAGGACCTTCTTTAAGTTCCACCTGGAAACTCAAACATCAACGGAATGGAATCACAAAGGAATGGAATCAGTCATTACATTCCATGGATTTCTACTAACCGTTTCTGTGGCAATACTTCCAGTCCTAGCAAAATCATAATCTTCATACTCATTGAATATTCTGCCAAATATGACAAAGTAAATAAGTTAGTATTCTTGTAATAAGAGCAAAAGATGATTATCTTTCCATTTAAAGAAAGTCATACTATCAATCGTATTAAAATGACTTAAAAAGACAGGTGTTTAGTTGTAATGTAACCTTTGGGCTTCTTCTTTAGGCATATTGGTTACACAAAGCCCAGAATCCCCACGAAGAAGCTGTATGCAGACAATGAAAAGATAATTAGATAATTAGATAAACAATAAATAAAAGAAACTTGTTAGTTTTAGTGTAAATGTAAATATTTTGTGTACCTTAGAAACTTTGTGAAGCCCTGTTCTTATCTCATCAGAATCAGATCTTCCTAGAGCAACCTGCATCACTTTATTTGATCCAAGGAAAAATCTGAAACAACAAATTGATAAAAAATGGCAAAAGATTAAGAGTCTTTTTTATTAAATATATGTTATAAAAAGTGCTAAATGTTTATGAAATGTTACCTGCTTGTGGATTTGAGCTGCTCCCTGAACTGCTTGAACTTGAGATTTCTCATGTTTTCAAAGCTGAAAACATATATGGAATTATACTTTTCAACAGCTTCACGAATGCAGTTCACAATGTTCTCTTTATGCTCTCTCCCTTTCTTCTTTGTCTTTGACAATGTCACTGCATTCAAATTTCAATCCCATATGCATTTTTTTTTTTAAATAAACAAAAGCAAAAGTCCAAGCTAAGATTAAAGAAAATGAAAGATTGATAATATACTTTCAGAAATCCAGTGTCCAACATTTTCTGCTCTATGCAAATGCAACTATACCTAAAGAATTACAAGCAAATTAAGACCTTATTCATCTTAGCAATCTAGAATCTCCCTTAATTGATATCATTGAACTTGAATGCAATATCCTATTGATCGGATGATTCAACCAACTAAAATAAATGCCGATTCTTAACGATGAGCTGCGACTTCAATTATGAAGCTTGACTAAAAACTTAAAATTGAATCAAATGAGCTCCTACTCCAATTCCTAAATTTGAAATGCAAGCAACTCTTAGAGAGCCTTATGATCAAACAAACACATTGCACACACTTTCCATATCCTATTTAAATCGACTCTTTCACTAAAATGAAAATTGAAAAACAATTTAGTTCGAGGAATATGTAAATTTAAGCACTTTACCTGCCCGATCTCTCTTGGATTTCGGCATGTCTGTAGAACTAGAGCTCTATCAAATTTTGCGATTTTTAACGAGAATTTGATGGAATTAAACCCTGGAGAAGATCGAAGACTCTTTTCTAGGGTTTAAACTTTAAAGAAAGCCTTTGCTTTTCGTTTTCTTTAGTGGGCTTTCACAATACAATGTCTCTTACAAATAACTTGGGCTCAAGCCCGTTTATACCAACAAAGTATTATTTTTATCAAAGTTGTTGATTATTTAAGTCCTTATATCATTTAGATATATTTTGTAGAAGAATATAAATATGATCCGTTTTTTTTTTCAATTAATAATATATTTTTTATTGAATAAGATTATGATAGAATATCTAGATTCAACAAAATGTGTGGATTATATTCAATGACTTGTCAAAATAATTCCAAATAATTAGAGGATCAAATCTCGTTGAAAGTTATACTATTAAACAATGATTTTTTTATATATAAAACAATTTAAAAAGTTATAAGTATCTAATAAATATATTATATTGACTTTTGACACGTTGTTGGCATGTTTGACATGGTTCTCAAAGTGCTCCTATAAATTTTCTTAAAATATTTCATTTGAATTATTGCATACGAAAAGGTATCTCAACAATATTCATAATGGCTACCTAAGTTTCTAAAAAAATGAATGATCCAATTGTTAGTTTCATTAAGCTACAATTTGTGAATATAAAATATTTGAATTATAATGTCAAAGACCCCAAGTATTGCAACTAAATTAAGCCGAGTGAGTACATTAGAATAATGATAAAAGTCTTGTTCTTCGGGGTTAAGAATGAGTATTTTGTTGGGGCTAATATCCTATCTTGGATCTCGAATTACTATAAAATAAAAGGATATGGGTATAAACAAGGAGTATGCTCAGACACTCAAGTTAGTATGGGTATATGATCAAGAGAGGATAATACATGAGTGAAGATTGAGTATGAACAACTTGCACGTAACATTTGTTGGTGATTTTAGTGTCACCATGTCATTTTAAGTAACTGGAACTAACATGTGAGCTAAGGGGTTTCATAATTTGTACTTTAATATATGTACATGTTTTGTGCGGAGTGCACGCATGTATAAGATCGAATTAGAAGCCGGTTCGACGACTAGTCGGGGGTCCAGGGGCAGCGCCCCCGGGTCTGGGGTTTCCGAAGGGGCAGCACCCCTTTGGCGGGGTTTAGGGGCAGCGCCCCTAGCGGGGTCCATGGGGCAGAGCCCCTGGCTGGGGTCCCGCTGCCAGGTCAGCGGGCAGGGTCAAGGGGCAGCGCCCCAAAACCTCACCGAATTTTACATATGGGAACATAGTGGAACACTTTCCGAAATGATATTTCTACCTATGCCTGGGTTGCAAAAAATTCAGCCTAGGATAATCCACGAGGACACTTACGATTTTAGGCACAGAAGTCGTAAGCCAAATTACTAGAAGGATTATGTGTTTGTTTGATGAAAACGAGAGCTTAAGAATTTCGTCTGTCTCTTCTCAAAGAGAAGAGTCGTTTATATAATAAACGAGATTATGGTTTCTATTATGGTTGGCCGTCGCAGGACCCCAGCCAGGGGCTCTGCCCCTTGGACCCCGCTAGGGGAGCTTCCCCTAGACCCCGCCAAAGGGGTACCGCCCCTTTGGAAACCCTGGACCCAGGGGCACTGCCCCCGGACCTCCAACTTGTCGTCAAACCGGCTTCTAATTCGATCATATACATGCTTGCACTTCGCACGAATCCGTATATATATTAGAATACAAATTATGAAGCCTCTTAATTCACATGTTAGTTCCAGTTACATAAAATGACATAAAGACACTAAATCACAACATATTATTGGCACGACCAATAAATTGTCTTATAGCCTTATACAACTTACCAAGTACAAAAGCCATGGCATTCCCATTTCCTACTAGTGGGTTGAACACGATCGATTGCAAGACATAGTTGTGGAATTACTTGCCCACTCTAATCTAGAAGGTCATGGTAAAACATAAAATACTAAGTCAAAGGCCTAATACCATAGAAGTACTAAATACCAAAGCATCTCAAGTGAGCATGTGTGACTGAAAAAACATAAAGCATTGGTTGCAACTAATGTTCAATCTCTCATAAAGCATTGTAACAAAGTTTGTGAATTGAGTATGACCATTGCAACAAAGTGTGTAAATGATATAACATATAGAATTTCAACAAACTGTCTAAATTGAATATATATCATTACAACAAAGTGTGTAAATTCTAAAATATAAAGCATTGCATAAAGTGTAAATGAAAGAAGATAAAACATTCTAACAAAGTGTATAAATGAAAAAACATAAAGCATTACAACAAGTGTGCAAATAATAGAACATAATAACAAATCAAGTTAATCATTTTCATATAATATACAACAAAAACCATTGTCAAGTACCATAAACAAACATTGAAAAGTATCATATAATCTAATTGCTACCATACTACATAAGCATCAAAACATTAGAAAATGTCCATTAAGGTATCATGAACTCTTTATTTCTCTTGGTTTTTCTTCCTAACACCTAGTATAGTAGTACTCATCTTCCCCTTCCTAACCCAACCAGTTGAGATACATTTTCACATTTAAACACCTATCACTTGTTGTATCTTTTCCCTTGTATGTACATGTATGCCCTTCTCATTGACATCTTCCACTTGTTACTCTAGTACTTCTTATTCTTCATGTCACAATTTGGGTCTCATTAATATGGTGCATCACTACCAAAATTGGTCTCCACTATATGTACTTTTAGTTTTTTTTTTACATCGTAAATGTTTGTCCACAATTCATACTCAAACATAAATGGGAAATCAACGATCGATGTAGTCATCCACCTATTGATCAACCTCACCTTTACATCGATGTTCATCTTTTCAACCTTTATATGTATGTTGATGTTTGTATTCATCATCTCGTTATAACATCTCAAATACATTTTCTCAGTCTGTTTCCCTTGATTCTTAGTTAGCAACTAAACATCATGACTATATTTTCTTGTAGGTCTCCAATACTAGATATGCACTTATTAGGTACCATGAATTATTGAGACTTTAGGTCAATGGAGATGAACAAGTTTTCTTTTTGAGAAAGGGTTTAAGTGACATATAGGGATTGATTATGTAATCATTGTATGAGTGTAATAATCCAAATCTTTACATGAGTCTAATTCAAACAATTCAAGACATGTATAACACAAAAGTTTAATTAAAGAGATCAAATCTTTACATAAGTGTAATAATCCAAATCCAAAGAATGTTCAAAATCCAACACTTTCCACTAAACATAAACAAATCCTGGGTAGGGAATCAGCAAATTAAAATTACAAACAGAAATTACAACAATTTTGGTCAGAACACAAATTTTCTTAAAAAAATTAAAAATAAATAACAACCTACTTTCTTTCCAACTTGAAATGATTCCAATTCCAATTCCAAAGATCACCATTTCTCTTTCTTATCCCCCCTAAAAACTAACTTCCTGATTCCCTTCTTTACACCCCAATTTATACACAAATCTACGTCTCGTTTCCATCTATCTCTACTTCCTGATTCCCATTCCGCCTTCTCCCCGACCTCCCAAGCAAAACCCGCCCCTGTCGCCGGAGCCGATTCACCAACGACATCCCACCATCACCGCCGCCATCACCGCCGCCGCCATCACCGGCACCAAACGCATGAAACAAAAGAAACACATTAACAAGACCGTCATCACCCGGCACTTCCAATCCCCGATTCCGATTCCGATTCCCACCGACATCAAACCCCTCCTCGTCTTCCGATTCCGATTCCGACTCGTACGAATTCCGTTCAATCACGTAATCACCAAACACCACCGACCCCGGCATTGACGATGTAACCGTACTAATGACATCCTCGCGCTCCCGCTCCCGCTCAAACCGCCGCCACTTCTGTTCCTGGTCGGGGTCCACCTCCCGTGGCTTAGCCGCCGGGTGCACCGCCTTCACGTGCTTCTTCAACTCCTTATACGCACCAACAAACACACAGTCCTCATGCATACAAGTCCTCTTCTTACAATTCAAATACTCACGAGCCGATTCCACCACAGTCCACCCTTTCACTTGCCCACGACACAGCGGGCATGCCAGCTCAGCAACTTCAAGATTCCTCTCAATGGGCCAACCCGTTAACGGGTCGAAACTCGACCCGTTTGTGAGGGTGGTTTTTGTGTAGGCTTTTTTGTATTGATCTAAGCAGTTGGAGTAACGAGAGCTAGTGCCACACATGTAGGGGCGACAACCTTTATCGTGTGAAGAACATAAAAGAAGAACAGCATTGTGAGGGTATTCCATGCATACTGAACATGTTATGTCTTCCCAATCTTTTTTTGGTGTTTCATTTTCATTTGGGGATTTTTTTTCATTTAGGTTTGATAAATTAGGGAGGATTGGGTATGGGGTTGTCCGGAAGTTTCTAGAAGCCATTCTGCGTCTTCCTCGTGTGCCTTTTGCCATTTTTTGAGATAAACCTGTTGAAAATGATAAATATGGGAATTGAAAATGGTTAAATTGATAAACTTGTGAAAGTTTATAGGGGTTCAATTTCAAAGGATCAGAGTTAGAAGTTGAAAGGAAAATTTGGTTACATAAAGAATGTCCAGTTTTCAGGATAAAATCGATCTAAGAAATTTAGAATTATTGTTGTTTCCATCAATGTAGAAACTATACAAATCAAAATCCAAATCAAAAAGAGACAATGATGACAAGTAACAAATCCGATTAAAAAAATCCCAATTGATGATGCTGGATGAAGATGAAGATTTGAAATTGGATGGATCACTTCTAGAATGTGATCAGAGTCTCATAGAGGAAGTCGAAACTACCAGAAAAATGAAATCTAGATAAAATTTATGAGGATTGATCGAAATTCAAGAACAATTAGACTAGCTAACCAAACATCAATATGACTAAGTTTAGACACGTTCATCGTGAGAAGATGATCCCAATTGAATATAAAAGGTGAATCTTGACACATGATAGCAAAATTTGTCATGATCTGGATGCAATTTTATAAATTTGGGACAGTCAATGTGGATGAACATCTATAAGTGCGTTTTCGTGATCATGTAAAGATTGAAGCTTTGCTTCAAGATAATGATCTCAAATGCGATGATTTCCAAAAAGCAAAATTCTACAAAAACTAACCATACCAGTTGCGCTTGAAAGGAAATCTGGATCCAAAAGCAATTGAAGATAAGATGTAAGCAGAATATGTATATGTTCAAATAATAAACCAAGTCAGGCAGATATAGGTAGCTAGCAAGCTACACAACATGCTATATCCAACCAATCACGCGAGCGACAGTTAATAATGAATAAAGTAATACGAGTTCATCCGCAACAAAGGCGATAGGCATCAGTATTTACTTCTTTTATAATTAAAAAAGGGAAAAGCACATGCCTGTGACGTCTACCCAACCCCTAATCTGAGATTCGAAATTAAAATACTTGAAAATCATCATAATCCTCCAAAAAATCTCAGAGAATCATCAAAGAGTAAATCATACGATTTTACAACTAGTAAAAACGATAAAAAAGAAGAAAACACAAAATCATACCTGAGAATTGTTGGAAGAAAATACTTGGGAGTTGAAGGGCGTCGATTTACTGGAAATCAAGATAGGGTTTGTTTCTACAAATTGACGAGATGAGCGGGGAGATCGATGAGGGCAATCGAGAGCGCGGGCATTTCGATTTTTTCTATCTTGCTAACACGAAAGCATGAGAGAGAAAGACGAATTTATCGATCCGATTCCTCTACAATATTCGGTTGTAGAAAGAGAAAGAGTACGTAAGATAGAAGTTTGGAGAGAAAGTTGGGTATCACAATCCCACGCGCTTCTAGAGCGCGTCGTATCACTGGTTTTGGTCATGTGGTTGGCATAAATAGTTTTGGTACAAGTTTTAAAAACTAACATGATTAGGGCATATCTAATTTTTTTTTTGTGTTCTTCATCGGTACTAAGAATGAACTTATGTGATTATAAAGGGATTTTCTAATATACGTATAAGAATTATTAATTGAAGTAGTAATTATAAGAAATATTATCATAATTAAATGTAAAATATATTAATTATAAATAATATTATTTATAATGAATATTTATCACGTTAATTATGATAATATTCCTTATAATTAATATTTCAATTAATGTTTCTTATATATTAGAAAATCCCAATTATAAAAACAAACCAAAAAATTATTCGTTGATACAGAGTTTCATAAGGAAATTAGAGATGAGAGAAATGTTTTAATCTCAATCCATGAACCCTCACTATGGAATTGCATGTAACCATTCTTAATTCATTTATCCTTATCTTAAGTACGGTTAAACTAAAATACTATCAATGTTGATCAAGCAAAAATAACAAAATACCTGTAACGTCAAGATATTAGAAATCTCCAACCATAAAAAATACAAGACTATAAGTTATAGACAAAAAAGGCAATGTACTTTTTTGGTATTTTTTATTTTAAAAGTTCAAAAAGTTAAAACTTATGAAAGTCATGTCCTAGCTTTTTTGTTAAACTTCTTACCCTTGATTGTATTTTAGATAACTTCCCACTTGCATCGTCATATTGTTTTTTGTAAATTTTTAGCCTTTAAAACCATAGAAATAAATAAAGTTTCAAGTAAATTCAGGCAGGTGCTTACATTCAAATTTCAAAAGAACAAAAATCCTTCGATCTTGATTTTTACCTGAGCCATTGGAGTTTGAAATGGATTAATAGGTTGGAGAAAAAATTATTACAATTTTTTGAAGAACAAAAATCCTTCGATCTTGATTTTTACCTGAGCCATTGGAGTTTGAAATGGATTAATAGGTTGGAGAAAAAATTATTACAATTTTTTGTAATTGTTACCTATTTCACAATTTTCAGCCAAAATGAATTAATTTTGAGCTTATATATTCAAATATTTTGCTAAACAGGAAATAACAATCATTAACACACTACATTGAAACTTTCACTGTGATTCAATTTTTTTCATATGGAAGATGCAAAAAAATATTATAAGTCAACCGGTTAATAAACATGAATAGAAAAATAAGGAAGCTAATGAAGAAGTATGTGAACCGAAACCTACGAAGGGTCATACTACAAATACTTTACTTTCAAAAAGAGATCGATTAACATTGTACTTTCAAGTTATTTCATGTTAGGACATTGTACTTTGAAAATTATCTACTCAATTATATCATCGTAGTTTTAAGCTATTTTGGGAGTTGGGTGACAATATGACATTGCTATATTGGGTAGATTTTTTTTAGTACAATATTGTAATACGAAGAATTAAAAGTATAATGTTATAACAAGCAAATAAATGAAAGTTCGTTACTATTTTTGCATAAAGCTCATAAATTAACGAGCATAGGGAAATTTGTGCACCTGACATATCAATTTCGTCATCTAAGTCATATTTGTGTGGACTACTAAAATCATCACGTGCTCTATCTCCAACACCATTTGTATGATCTTCAGTGTCGTCTTCATCATAATTATGGTGGTCCTCCTTAGTTTTGGTATCATATCCAATGCGTTCTTCCTCATGTGTATCATCATTATGCTCATGATCATCATGGTTCTTAGCAGAATCTCCATCTTTATCTTGAGGCTCGATTTTTCTCCATATCCAACGTGAACACATGGTCTTACCTAACTCTCCCCTTGATAATGATTCACTATCTTTATATACATCTTCTTCCTGAATAAAAAAGAGGGAGTCCCATAAATTATATATAAGATAGAAATAAGGAATTAGTTCCTATAAATTAATTAAAAAGAAACCTTATTTTCAGGGTTAAGACATGATCATCATGGTTCTTAGCATAACATCCATCTTCAGCTTGATGCTCAATATTTTTCCCTGTCCAACGTGAACCAATGGTCTGACCTAACTCTTCCATTAATAATGACTCACTATCTTCAGATGCATCTTCTTCTCGAATAAAAACAAGGGAGTCTTATAAATTATATAAAAGATAAAAATATGGAATTAATTCCTATAAATTAATTAATAAGGTACCTTATTTTCAGGGTCAGGAAAAGGAAAAGGATCATGTTCATGTTCATGTTGATGTTCAACTTCATAAGTTTTCTCATTCTTTTCAGCATGCCATACATAGGGAGGAAAGCTCAACAAAAGGATAAAACTAAGAATAGAAGGGGAATACCCTTGAAGGTGAGATAGATATTCAGAGCATAAAATTTAGGGGAAATTGATCCCCCGTTTATACTTGGAACTTGGCAAAATTTAGGTTGGTATGTAAAAAGTAATCATATGGTTTCAATTCCTTTCTAACTCTAAGATTTAGAAATCACTACTAAAAATTTGTATCATTTAAATGATCCTTATTCACGTGAGACTACAAAAATATCACATTATAAATTAATTAATTAATTAATAATAATAATAATAATAATAATAATAATAATAATAATAAAGAAAATAAAAATGTTGAAATGAACAAACTGTTGAAAAGAGTATCTAATGTCATTAACTATTGGTAATATTTTTAATAATAACATAGTCCTTTTGGGTTGCCTTGGTGACCCAATTGAGCAAAAATAAATAAGAGAAAATAAGTTTGTTAATTTATTATAGTTTAATAAACTAATTGGAAAATATTTTGGGAGTTAATTAAATAGTTTTAATTAGTTAGAGGGTTGAATATTAATTAGTTAAATGTTAATTAATTTGAATATTCTAGAACCCTTAAGATAATGGGAAATTCAAAAATCACTCCATCCTACAAGGTATGGGTGATTGATATTGCCATATTTATACATATTTTTAGGCATTATTTTAATACATTTAAGCTATAATTTGGTTAAAAGCAAAGATATTTGGTATTTACTAAGTTAAATTACATTTTGCAGCAAAAAAGGACATTCTTGAAGAAAAGGACCAAAAATGACAAAAGATGAAAACTTAGAGGTCAAAGCTAGTAGCTGCATAGAAGAAGAGAAGAAGTCGTGCAAAAAATTACATGCCACGACTTGGCAATCTAAAGGCCACGACGTGACCACCTGTCCTGACATAGAAGCTTCTGGTGACTTGAGGCATACACGTTTTAAGTGTTGACCACGACGTGACACCTATTCCCCACGCTGTGGCAACCATATTTTTGGTATCTATATAAACCGAACACTAGGTCAAATTCTAGAGGTTGGCTTGAGGATTAAGCTAAGGATTACAACTAAGAACCCTTAGAAAACCATCAGAAGTGAAGATTTCGTTTTGCACTCAAGCTTTGAAGATAATTGAAGGAATATCATCATTGAATCATTCAGTTTGCTAGATTTTACCATGTATTTTCTAGTTAATTTTGATTTCATGTTTGTTTCTGCTTTAGTTATGGGCTAATCACCCCATACTTCTCTTTGGTGAAGATGAACCTGATCCTTATGTGTTGATTTCGAATTCATGGATGTTTTATGTTGACTTTACTTGTGTTTGATAATAAAAATCCTAACATGTTGAAGTTTTAGCTTATATTGCTGATTAATCAAGTTCTGTTTAATAGATTGTAACACCCTGCTTATTTAATAAATAAGTAGATAAATTTTATGAAAGAGTAGTAGCCCTAAAATTCATATTATTCAGTGAGATGTTGATTTTGGGAGCTAAATGTTATAATTTTAGAAGTTGGGGGTTAAAAGTGTAAGTTCCAGGTTGGCTTTGTAAATATTTATGAAGGCAGAGGTGTAATTGGAAAATATTGTACCTAATTGCAATGGATTTTAATGTTGAGGGCTGTTTAGTAATTTATGGGTTAAATTTGAAAAGGATTTCAGGAATCAGGGTATATTTGGTAAAATATGGACTTATTATGAAAAGATTTCTGAGGGCAGGGTCTATTTGGTAAGTTTTGGACTAATGTTGAAGAAAATCTGGATTTGAGGGGCTAATAGTGTCAACATGGGAGGAGGCTTCCATGAGGACGGGGTATATATGGATCACCCGTAACCCTAACCCTAGAAAGTATCATCAGCCGCCTCCATCCACCCTTTGGACTTCCGGCGCCGCACAACCTCCGATGAGTTCGCCAATCGCCGGAGACCGCCAACGACGCCTGCCATGTCCGGAGATGTCGAAGACTGTTGGGTATACCGGGAGTTATGGCCGTTGTGGTCGTTCTGGTGGAGGTGCGACCACCATAGTTGAGAACCCAGACCGCCGAACGCGTTGTTCTTAGCCATCGTGACGTCCGGGAACCCGCTGGTGGCTATAGGCGGAGTGGGAAACGTTGATGTGTGGGAGGTGATCGACGAGGTTGCTGCCGCCGCTTCACTATAGCCGTTGAAGATTAAGCCGCCGGTGAGCGACCTCGGTTCTATGCTGCTGCTGCGAGGGTATTCCGACGAGATGTACCGGTTCCAATTGCTCCCCCTCGGGGTTTGTTCAGACTCTCGTCACTGCCGCCACTCCAAGTCGTCGTTGTTGTGGCCGCCGACCTTGCTGCCGCCAACCACTGCTGTTAGGTGATGCATGGTGCGCGTATTTCATGTGTGACTTAACTTCAGTCAATTATTTGGCGTTCATATGTACTGTGGGTTATTTGGCTAGCCGGAAATCACAAGGTTGCCGCCTTGCACCACCGCCGGCCACCATTGGGTGGCTGTGCGTATGTATGTGTATGTTAGTGAGTGTATGCGTGTTTTGGGATTTGTATTGTAATCTGTAATAGTGTCGGAATAATGAAAGAACTTGAAAACCACCACCTTAGGGTGGTGGCTGCCGCCTCCTGCCGCCACCGGCTGCCATGTCGGGTGGCGGTGTGCCTTGTTGGATCGTGACTTGTTTAGATGTTTGGACAAAGGGACTAACAAACCCTAATGGGCCCAATGAGGCTTAATGGGCCTAATGATGATTAATGGACCTAAAAGCCCAAACAGATGACTAATGGGCCTAGTGAAAACTTAATGAGTCTAGTGAACCTTAATTGATTAAAAGACATATCAATTGGGCCTAATGTGCTAAGATGGGGTTGGAAACCCTAATTAGGGTTTAGAAAACCCTAATATTGGATTCAGGGGCTTGGATTTATTGGGACCCACCTTTGGGCCATTGGAATAATGGAATTGTGTGATTAAGCCCAATCATACCATATGACTTATTTAAAAGAATGACGGACTTAATGGATTAAGTCCTTAATGGGTTAAGTGAGAAACACTTAACCCTAATCGTCATTTTATGTGAAACCCTATTTTCACATGGGTGTATTGTTGGGCCTTCTATTGGGCCTTGATGATTGCGTTATTAATGGGCCTAGGGTAAGGCCCATGTAAGGGGTTTGGGCCCAATTTGGAAAATTAGGCCATAGATGGGCCATAGTTTCGGCCTTAATGATTATATGATGCTGGGCCTTAGAATGAGACCATGTATAGGCCTAGGCCCAATTTGGAAAATTGGGCCATGTGTTGGGCTTTGATTCCTAATTGACTTTGGGCCTATGGATTGGGCCTTGGGCTTGAATAAGCCAAGCTAGGGGTAATGTGGTAATTACCCAAAGAATGTACTTATGGTTATGTAGTGGGACCCAATTATTAATTGGGTGATGTTTGATATTGACAGTTCGAGAATCTGTCATCCAGCAGCTGAGGTTGAGTCTGCGGGACTTCAACAGCGTGGGATTGTGTCTACGGGACTTCAGCAGTGTGAGGTGAGTTACCTTCCAGTAGCGGTGGGTCTACGGCCATAATGCCGGCCCACCAGTAGGAGTTGTATGTTAGATGATTGTCTTTGTGATATCATCTGGGTTGCTACTACCTGATATGTTATATGCTGGCATGATATGTTATATGTGACAGTAGTAGGGTTCGGTTGTTAGGACCGAAGGGTAGGTCAGACACCCCAGATATGTCTGACAGTATGTGATGATATGTTTATATGCTAGCATGATATGTTATATGTGATAGTGGTAGTAGGGAGGGAATAGTCCTCAAGTTCGGTTGTTAGGACCGAAGGGTAGGTCGGACACCCCAGATATGTCTGACAATATGTTTATGTTATGATATATGTGATAGTAGCAGTAGGGGGTGGAATAGCCCCCGAGGTTCGGTTGTTAGGACCGAAGGGTAGGTCAGCACCCCAGAATGGCTTGACATGGGTAGGTCGGCACCCCAGAATGGCTTGACATGGGTAGGTCGGCACCCCAGAATGGCCGTACCGGGTAGGTCAGGCACCCCAGAATTGTCTGGCAGTATGTATGCTATGTGATTGTATGGTATGTGGTATGATGGGGGAACTCACTAAGCTTCGTGCTTACGGTTTACAGTTTTAATTTCAGGTACTCGTTTCAAAGGAAAGGAGCCGGCTTGATCGCAGCGCATCACACTATGTTTTCCGCACATGAGATCTTTGGGGGTACACTCTGATATGGTTTTATGATAATATGTTTTGATTACTGACATTTTGGTTGATACGAGATGTTATTATGAATGTTTTTATACTGATGGTTTTATGTAATAACTTATTTAAAAATGAAATTTTTGGTCTTGAATTTTGGGATGTTACAAGTTGGTATCAGAGCCTTGGTTTGAGGGATTCGGACATACTCTCGGGTGTGTCTGAACTCAAACTAAGGGTTTGGTATGAAAATTTTCAAAAGTAAAACCATTTTATAAAAAGGAGTTGAAAAGAAT